TTTCGATTTTAATTGGCTGAACAAATATGCATGATCGGGATCATCATTTCCTTATTTGGGACGTTCCTACCTGTATGATTATCTAGACATAAACGTGCAAACCTGCTAAAATAACCTAACATCATCCAGGCCGTAGAAACAACGTGCATTTAAAATAGTAAGAATAAAAGAAATGTAGACTTAGTTCATACTATCTAGATCACATAATGCACGCAAGACTACTAAATAACCTAACACGCATTTAGGTTATATCTAACACATTACAAGCACACTAAATTATATTGGAAAGAGTAAAGATTTAAAAGCAAATCAATTTTAAATGTGGGCCTAATACGAAAAGCACAAAAACGCTTACTAAACCTTATTTGTTACTTTTTTTTAGCGAAATTTAGACTCTATTTAAACCAGTGCATTTATTTATTTAAAATTTGAAACTTTCTAAGCAGTATGTTAAAGTTTATGTGCGTACGTACGTTGATCGATTATTAGCTCGTGACCATCTCGGTCACGGTGTTCAGTTATGTGTTAATAATATAGACTGCCAAAATAGATACGTGAATATTTTTTCCACGCGTATTGACGGTCTTCCATGATTTGAAAAGTATGATTTTACTTTTTGTGCTTCTTTCAAACCCGACGTTTCCCCGGCCTGTAAATCCTGAGGGGTACTTCTTCCTCTGGTGTTGTTGGCAAAATGGCCAGATAGCGATTTTCAAGGGATATTATAAGGTTCTGGTTCTCTAAATCCAGTGTTTCCCCGACCTGTAAATCCTGAGGGGTACTTCTTCCTCTGGTGTTGCTGGCGAAACAGCTATATACTATGGCGATCTTGTAATTATCCGGAGAAAGTTTCGGGTTAAAAAATAAATACCGTTTCTCAAAGTTATTTATTTGATTTACTTACTATATTTTATTTTTTATAGGCATTATGGTTCATGTTAAATATCATCACATTTATTAATCATCGTTTTGAACATTAATATATATATATTATCCACAGGCTTATGTTGAACTTTTGAAAGAAATTATATATGATGAAGACTTTACTATTGTTCAATTTTATAAAAAAATAAATTTTTCTTTTTTTCAAAGGATTCAAGCAGGGAGAGTTTTATATGAAGCATTGAAGACTGTCACTTCTGAAAATAATACAAAGGTTCAGAAATTGCTAGTTAATTTTAATGAACTTATCAACTCTAACTCAGTGAATGTTTATTGGGATGGTGTTTGTATCAGCAATGAGAGAAGTGAAACCCAACATGTTGAAAGAATATTGAAAGAAAAAGAGTTTAGTATAAATAAATTGTCTGCATACTTAACAAAATTATAATTATTACTAGATACTGGACCCGTCGTTAAACGACGGGTTTATTGCAATATATTAACGTTAGTATTTTAATATTTGATATAAAATATATCTCTAACTTGTGATTGATTTCGTTATGTTAATTGTATAAAAATTCTTAAGTGCACGTTCAATTTTATATACTGATCGTCAGACATAAAAAATGCATCATACAAAAAAACTACGCACTTTTTGAATGTGAGCCAGGTTTGTGTCGCAACAAAATTCTTTAAAGATCGTTTATGTTAGAGTTAGAGTTAAGGTTATGGGTTAGAATAAGGTAGATTATATAGTAAAATTGCCAACAAAAACTTTTATTAGAGCACTAAAAGTTGATTTCTTATGTAGAATTTCCAAAACGAACGTTTGGTTTGAATTTTCTTGATTTTGTTATATTGCACCTGATCTTGGAATCTGATTCGTAGTTCGGTAACTCTGCGTCACAAACCTGGCACACATTCAAGAGGTGCAATCAACACATTTACCAAATTAAAAGTTGCATCTGACTAAAAATGAAAAATTGCATCAGAATAAACCTTTTATAATATTAAAGCTTTGTATCAGATTCTCAAATTAATTCACTTAGTATTTACAGTTGTATAGTCATTTTTACTTTAAGTAAATTTCGATAACAGAAGTATAAAAAAGCATAAAATATGTAATTAGTCTATGCAAATCTTCTAATCTATTTACAGTTTTATTTTTTATGTAGGAGAATTTACTAATTTTCGTAAATAAATTAAGTCTTGCATAGAAAAGTATTCCAGAATATATTAAATGCCTTTTTATTTCAAATGTTAGTATATCTGTATGTACATTCTATGCAATGCATGTAGAACACATGACTGGTTATTCGAAAAAAAATTGGCTAACTTTATTTGTTTCTCACTATAACACAAACATAAAATAATAAACATTCTAGTTGCAGTAAATTCGTTTTAACTTTAGAATCAAAATAAAGGTTATTATAGAATTAGAAAGAACAGAGATTATTTAAAATTTTGCAAAGTATTTTTTTTTAGAACATAAAAGGCAGTTATTTAGGCAAAATTTCAAGTTATTCTTTCAAAAAAACCCAGATTTACATGTAAACTTGTATACAGTAAGAAACTTTTCTTTTTTGATTTGTAGCACAGTGGGAAACTTGGACGTATACATATATATACGTTACATTTTAAGTAGCATTCCCACTGAAAAATTGTTCATCCCCATTATTTTTGAGCAATCAAATTTAAGATCAGGTGTTAAAAACAAACGTGTTTCGTTTTTTAAAAAAGTTATGTGTAAAATGAAAACCAAGAAAACCGTGTTATAGTTAGGGTTAGGATTAGAACAATATAACACATATTAGTAAAACATCACAGGGAACATTTTTAATTAGGATGCAGAAGGTGGCATTATAATTAACAATTTAGTAAAAAAGTGGTTTGTTTCGATTTTTACGCTACATCAGTTCCTGAAATTCAATTAGTCAAAATTACAGGGTGAATTTAAGTGTCGATCATGTAGATTACGTGATGCGAGACGGATTGAACATCTAAATTTTTATTTTATAGATTTACTTGCTTATTTGAATAATCTAGAATCAGAAAGCTTGTCAAATAAAATCTAATGTATTAGACAAGCACATTATTGAAAGCAATCTTATATTAAAAAGAAAATGACAAAAATGGAAGCATGCAGATAAGGTTAGTATATAACTTAAATTTATTTAACAAAAATATCTTTTAATCTTTTTACTTGTATTTTCTGATTATGATTACATTATCTTTTGCGATTTTTTTTAGAAGAGAGAATGTTTTATGAGGGAACTAAGATATTTTGTCTGTTGATTACAATGAGAATAAAATTAACCTTTCTAAATTGAATTAGAAGTCATATAAAAGAAAACAAAATGAATCTAATATTAAAAGTGATGTAAGTTGATATTGGATGGATTAATTAATATGTAATATATTATATGATCAAAGTAATATGTTTGTTATTAGTATAAATTGAACATTACAACATTGCTCAAAATATTTTGACTATAGATTGCTGATACAACAAAAAATGTTATTGAGGAATATAATAATTTTATATTGGGAAGTCATCACATAAAAGGTGAAGAATTCTCTGAAGAAGAGGATGATGAAGATGATGAATCTTTAGTTCTAAAAAGATTAAAATTCAATGATTGTGATATTAATGAAAGTGATGATATTGTAATTCAAAGTATATACTTGGAATTAATAGGATACAGTTCAGACAATTCATTTTTTAAATAGATTAAAAATAAGGTATCAGATAAAAATGATGTATTTAACACATTCTATTATACTAAATCAAAGAAATCAAATAATGATATTAAACTTAAACAAAAAGAAAAAATCAAGTTTTGGTATAGATAGTTTGTTGGACCCGGTAGAAAAGAGTTTATATTAAATAAAAATAACAGTAGAGTAATTTTTAAAATCTTAATTTTAATTCTAAGTGTTAATATTTTAATATTTAATATTCCTGATATATATATAGTAGAGTGTTGGCATGATTGATGTTTCAAATTTGCTATTAGAATATTGTAATTTGTTAGTCAAAAAGGCATCAGAAAAAAAATTAAAAATATTATTGAAATACTTTAAGTGTTTTAGTTTTTATAGTTATATATAACATAAATAATATATAACTATTATTACAGAGTAACTTTATAATGTTATACTAATAGTTTTGTAGAACAATACTTTATAATTTATAGTTTATATTTTAGATATAATTCTAGTTAAATTTGTATTATATTTAGAAATTATATTGTATTTAGAATAGTTAGAATATTAGAGTGTATGCCAGTGTATGCCATATGCCAGTGTGTGCCGTATACCACTGTATGTCATATGCCACTGTGTGCCATATACCACTGTATGCTGTATGTCACTGTGTACCGTATGCTACTATATGCCGTATGCCAGTGTATGCCACTTGCCATATAGTTGTACTGTATGCCAGTGTATACCATCTGTCACATGGTATATGCTAGTGTATACCACTTGCCACATGGTTATATAATAGTATATCTTAGTACAACACACATGGTTATATGCCAGTGTATGCCAGTGTATCCCACATGGTTGTATGCTACTGTATGCCAACCTAACAGTTATTTAAAAGAAGGCATTTCCCCCTTACCTCAATAGGCAATAACCCACAGACAACAGATATTTTAGATAGAAAATATTAGGTAGATAATGAATAGAAACTATTAAATACTCTTTGGAATATTGTTTTCTAAATATTCCAATAATATTCCCTTCATTCTAATGACCTTGTAATGTCTTTATTGTCTCTAAAACAAATAAATAAATCCTTCTGCTTAAACCTTCTCTCTTGCTCTTCTTAAACACCTTCTTTAAAAGTACCGCTGTAACATCTTAGTGCTTCCTGGCAGAAACAAATTAAAACCCTGGTAGAAACTATTTTATTTTTATTGTAAATACCAAAAAGTAGTCCTTTTTATTCGTATTTTATCCCCTCTCCTTCTTCTTCTTTTGTTCTCTCTTCTTTTCTTTACTCTTCTTTAAAATTTTACTTTTTCATTAGTTAGCTTTAGTTTTTCTTTAATAACTCTACGAATATTAACCCTATTTTAAAAATCTTATCTCCTTTACATTCTTGAAAACATCCTTTATCTTTTGGTATATAGGTTGCTTAATACCAAAATGCTTCCCTGTTGCTCTAAAAATTGTCAAAGTTTTCACTCCTTTTTCTTTACTGTAAAATTCTTTAAAATTTTGTCTTTATGAATGTAGTTATACAAACTTTGACCCTTAATATCTTGCCATCCACTTAACCGTTTTGGATGTTCTCACCTTCTTTAGATTCGTAGAGAGTCTTCCTACAGTTTCTTTCTAAGTTATAAACCTTGTTAGCTTAATATGAATATCTTAAATTTTTGATTTTTCTATTTTGTTCAAAATTTTTACTCTACTTCATTTTTCTTTTTTTAAGTTTATTTTCTTTTCTTCTTTGAGACCCTATATTTGACTTTTTATTATTATTTTCTTTTCCACCATGGTGTTCTTCTTTGGAAACAAAGTATCAAAAGGTTATTGCTTTTGGGAAAAGAAATAGTACAAAAGGTTCTTGAAACTAAAACAAAAAGAGTAATTATAAAAGAAACAATAATAACAGAAGGAATAACAACTCTGTCAACTGGCCTATAGAATAGTAAAAGATAGTGTAAAAATATCTTGATTAGTGTTGACAACTATCTTGTTCTTAATAAACTTTTACTTGAATTTTATAAACTTATTACTTGTCTTTAAACAAGTTGTCTCTTTTATACTTTCTTGGATATTACTATAATATTTGGACTTTTTTTTTTGGATAACTGATTTTGAAATTATTTTA